ACTGGAAGGCGCTTGGGCTTTCTCCATTCCATGAATACGCTGATGTAAGTAGTTGCAAATATAATTAATAACCTGTATACACTGACTATGTAGTGTTATCAGCTGGAAAGAACAAATACAGTCCTTTAATACCGAAGGAGCAGCATCATTCAGTGAAATGGTTTGCTGCCACACAACATTGGGCAAATAAAGGCAGTAAAAACAAAGTAAAAACTAAGCCAAAGGAAGTAGCCAACTTCCCTGCAAATACTAACACAGCTCTTCCAAAGTGGAGCTGTGCACATTCACCCATTCATACCAGTAGGGATCTTTGTTAAAAAAGAGCTATACTATTCAAAAGCAGACAGGATTTATCAAAGCAAATAAGAAAATAAAAAAGGTACAGCCCTGTAATTATGGGGAAAAAACAACTCTTTCTGGTGTGTCATTTTTTTAATGATGTTCAGTACTAAAATATGCAACTTAAAAAAAAAAGAAGGCATAAAAATATAAAGAAATAAGCATAGTGGGAAAGGAAAAATTAGTGATTTCATCGATACTCATATTTCATCAGCAGGCCAGCAATATAATCATGTCCTGTCCCTCCTTTTGCTTTCAGACCTACACTGATTTACTTTATGCTCTATTTACTACATTTACTTAGCACATCCAAAAATCTACTTAAATTCTTCAGGCTTAAACTGTCATTGAACTTGAGTTTCTCCAGTTTAAGTAGTCTGGAATAGCTATTGGTAGTGTTGTAGAACATTTTAAACCACAAGTTTATGAAGCTCTGTGGAAGACTAAAACAGGTCCATAAAAGTTTGAGGTGCAGTTTGGGTGAATTAAGTCAAATAAACAAAAACTCAAAAAAATTCCCTAACCATTTGGGTGACTAAAAGTTGTAAGTGCTTCACCTCATAAGATGCTTAAAAGTGCCTGATTGAGACCGTTCCAGCCAGGCTGTTGAATAAGCTTTTCCTTGTAAAAATAGCCTACAGGTCAGCAAACTAGCCTGGTAAGTGGGTAGAATTCAATAAGTCTGTGTCTGCGTACAAGGTAACTGAAGCCTACAGTCTTCACATCCAGGAGCCTTAGACTTTGTCAGGACTGGGACATAGGAGAGAGCTTGCTAGTCCTCTTGTAGAAAGTTTAGATGGTTTAGAAAATAGATCAAATATTAAGCTAATGAGAGCCAAAGAAAGCTTGAGCTTAACCCAGGTGGTGACATTCTCCTGGCAACTGGGTGTCCCAAGCTCCAATGGACTGATTTAGAGAGCAGTAAATTAGAATTGTCTTAGGTCAAGGGTTTTTCCTTTGTTCTGGTAAGTCCAGCCACTCAGTTCTTAATGCAAGAACTGACCCACCACCAGTGGTGCCAAAAACAGGAGGGGGCACTGAAGTACAGAAAGAAGCTTTGGGCTCCAACTTGTACCTTGTTCGGACACCTCACACAGAGGTTCTATTTAAATTCACCAGGTGGAATTTCAACCCAGTCTTTCTCATTGGTCACTTGAGATACCACCCCCTCATCCTCCCATTCCACATCCACAAAGTAGTTGCCTGGCTCGGCTCTCCATCTAGCTTCTCCACAGCCAAAGCTCTTTGTGGACCTCGGTCCAAATCTCACAAATTTCTCAGTCCTCAGCAAGCATCACAAAGTAAAGAGGAGCATTACCCTTCAGAAAGGTAAAATCACTGAACAGAAACTGGCAAGGTACGCTGCAGATGAAATGGCATGGGCTTCTTTGTTCTTAATACTGTAGTTTTGAATGTCTGTTGGTCATCATGATCACAAGTTTTCTCTTTTCCAGGTGGTCTTCACTGCTAATGATTCTGGTCACCGCCACTATACCATTGCCGCTCTCCTCAGTCCTTACTCCTATTCAACCACTGCTGTTGTCACTGAGCCCCAGGAATAAACATGTACTGTCCTTGTACAAAAACTCTCCTCCACTAGAACTATCATAGGCTTTTAGGAGGAAGGGTTTTCCTACTGCTAATGCATAATGTTTTGCTACATTAGATTGTTTGTTTTGGTTTTTTTTTTTTCATTTTGTAACCTGGCAAACTTCAGACAAGTCAATAAAACATTACTTCTTTAAAACAGTCTTGACTCCATTGGTGAAGTTTTATTGTGTTCTAAGGTATCTTTTTTTTTTTTTTATTTGCGTTGAAATGCAAAGGACATCTCAAAAATACATGCCAGATGGCACTTAATTTAGTTCTGTTACCTTCCTCCACCACCTTAAAAAAGTCTCACCAAATGCACTGACTCAAAATAAGAAACTTATGGAGTTGTGCTACCTTAAAAAATTTACCAAATACACAAAATAAGAAAGTCATCCATGTTACTCCTAGTTTATACGCGGAAGAGATGGTCCCATTCTCAACTAGGTCACAGGGAAAAAAGGGGAAATTCTGAATTCTGAGCAGCAGAACACCACTGTTCAAATACTGTATGTCCAGAGAACTGAAAGTGTTAAATCTGTGTACCTTTATTTAAAACTTCAGGTAAATCTCAACACTCTGGTTTTTCAAGAGGGAAATTTGCAGGTCAATCAATCTAGGAAGTTCTGAAATAATTTCAAGTAGCACTGTTTCTGACAACTTCAGTATTAAAGTGATTATTTGATATAACCCAGCGGGTTACCCTACTCCACTGTATTCCAATTAAGTCTGTAGTAAGTCAAATCTCTAGCCATCATTAAAAAGAAGCCCTAAAAGAGAAGCATCATTTTAATATTCTCTTCATATTTTCAGAAATAGGAAAAAATAAGCTGTAGAGTGACTGTGATTCAAATAATGTTGCTGATAAACTGACCAAAGACTTTGAGGGCTTTAGCAGTGATTTCCATAGACTCGTGGCCTATTGTATTTAAAACATCCTGAAGCAGAGGAACTGTGTTTTAACTGCGTTACACAAATTACAGAGAAAGATACTGAAATCACGATCACCACTCATTTGCCACTGACCTTGGAGTTTATCTCTACACCCAGAGCTTGCTGGGATGTTGGCATACCAAGTGAATGTACAAGTTACAAAAGCTTGCCTTTAATATTTCTTTGTTTGGTTGCTTTTCCCCTGGATTTCTGGACACTACCATAATTACACAATACTTGTAAACAGTGCAAAGTTTCAAAACAGCACCCATCTTGAAGCATGGAGATTTCACGGGATCCTGATGTTCCTGGAGCTTGAAAACCAGGAGGCTGGATTTGCAGTGGGCTGTGTGCCAAGCTCTCAAAATAGGACCTAAATGTGCTCATATAGATGTAGTCATCAAAAACCAAACCAAAACAAATACTGTGTGTAGTCATCCATCTGATGACAAGATAAACCTAGTAAGAGTGTATGTATATGTGTCTAACCAAAGATCAAAGAAAGACAAAGTTTAATTTCAAGAAGTAACATTTCCCTAAAACGAAGCAGATACTTCTGCTAGGAGCTGACATGCAGTTGTACAGGGCAAGTCCTGAACTTGTAGTGACCTAAGGGACAAGTAAAGTGATAGGACTTAAAACAGTTTAACTGTGGTTCAGAAATGGTTGTGTAGGTAACTGGTTATAATGCTGGAAACCAACATATTTTTCCTCCATGGGGGATGCATAAAATAACTACATAGCCCAGATGTTACCCACTTACCTTTTATTAGAGGTGGGAAGAAGGCCACCACACCACCTTAATAGGTAAACATGTGAAACTCAGTTAAGCCAAAACATAAACACAGATAATTTTGCACTGAAACAGAGGGTAATAGTGAATGGGGTAACATCAGGCTGGCAACCTGCCACTAGTGGGGTTCCGCAGGGCTCCATCTCAGGCCCTGTCCTCTTCAGCCTCTTCATAAATTACTTGGACACAGGACTGGAAGGCATATTAAGCAAGTTTGCAGATGACACAAAACTGGGAGGAGCTGTTGTCTCCCTCGCAGGCAGGGAGACCTTGACAAATTAGAAGACTAGGCAATCACCAAACATATGACATTCAACATGGGAAAAGTGATGGATTCTGCCCCTGGGATGGGGCAACCCCACATGTACATACAGACTGGGGAATGAGATGCTGGAAAGCAGTGCCACAGAAAGGGACTGGGGGTCGTGGTCGACAGCAAGCTGAATATGAGTCAGCAGTGCCCTGGCAGCCAGGAGGGGTAAGCGTGTCCTGAAGGGCATCAGGCAAAGCATCACCAGCCAGTCAAGGGAGGGGATTGTCCTGCTCTGCTCTGCACTGGTGAGACCTCATCTTGACCATTGTGTACAGTTTTGGACACCACAATATAAGAAAGATATTAAGCTATTACAGAGCATCCAAAGAAGGGCAACGAAGATGGTGAAGGGCTTTGAGGGAGAGCCATATGAGGAGCAGCTGAGGGCACTTGGTCTATTCAGCCTGGAGGAGACTGAGGGGAGACCTCAGCGCAGTCTACAACTTCCTTGTGAGGGGAAGAGAAGGGAAAGGCACTGATCTCTTCTCTGTGGTGACCAGTGACAGGGCCCAAGACAATGGCCTGAAGTTTAGGTTGGATATTTGAAGAAGGTTCTTCACCCAGAGGGTGGTTGGCTATTGGAACACGCTAATCAGGGAAGAGGTCACAGCACCAAGCCTGCCAGAGTACAGTAAGTGTCTGGATGATATTCTCAGGCACATGGTGTGACTCTTGGGGATGGTCCTGTGCAGGGCTAAGGGTTGGACTTGATGATTCTTGTTGGTCCTGTCCAACTCACCATATTCTGTGATTCTGTGAAATTGCTAAGTTGTCACAAAATTTGTATTTCCCTCAACTATATGAGATCAATACAGCACTATTCCTCAATTTAAAAAGAGAAAAATATAACAGAATAGACATCGTTTAGAAAAACATTGATCACTGTAGTTGAACTAGGCAATATTCACAGTATTTCCACGAGCAAGGATAGAACACTTACGTTTGCAGGCAAGGTTCATGTTTGTATGGGTTACTTATTTTCTCATTGTTTACTAAGCAAACAATATGAATCTCCACGTTACAAGTCATATGGGTTTTCTGATAACTTCATTTTAGAGACCTTGATATAAAAATCACGGATACCACCAGTTTCTGCCTCTTGGCCCTGAGACTTCGTAGTGGTAGGCAAAATGGCTTTTTCTTCTGTATTTCTTGTTTTCTTAGCTGGCCTGACATTTTGCTCCGAAGCCTCACCATCGGTAAGTGTCTCAGGATTTAAGTCCTTCTACTGATGTAGACCCAGCTTTTTCATTTTATTTTCATTAGTATGGACAAAAAATTAGAATATTCTATTCTACTGCAATTATTTTGATGTCACAGTATATATTGACTGCGGTTCTCTGCTGCTGCTCTCTTCTGGTTCTCCTTTCTCCTTCTCTAGTCATTAGTGAGAGGACTTCATGGTTACAGAAGTAGCACTTGTCATTAGACATAGCAACTACACAAAACCCAATGAAAAACAAAAAAGGGAAAAACTATCATATTCACTACAAAACAAACCTTGAGCCTGTTGAAAAGAATCTGATAGCTTTCATAATATAATGAGCAAGCTGTGTCATGAGGGATTTCATTTCCAGTTGTGAGACTGTTGCTGGAGAAAGGCCTTCTCTTGACTTTTGCCTTACTGCTCTACCCAATACGGCTCAGCCTCATGTAAGCAAGAAGGGATCTCAATACTCATTGAGGCAAGGAAAGAACAGAGCCAAAGTCAGGATCTTCTTCCAGAGAGCTCATTTATTCCAGCAAAGTAAGCTAGCAACACAGATGCCTCAGCCTGAAATTCTCCAACAGTCTTGTCTCTCTCTCGTCAACTACTGATATTTCCTCTCAAGCTCTGATCTTTGGGAAAATTAATACCTGGCCAACCTTGTTGAGGAATTAAGACTTTCATTGAGCTCCCAGGGTGTAAAAGTCAGGAAAATCATTGGTAGCAGTGCAGCCCTTCTTTCCAAGGTCTCACAAGAAACACTAGTGAATCCCTGCATTCCCGAAAGGGAGTGAGAAGAGTCTAGGCATACAGGCACTGTAGATACATGCTGATACACTGGTGGGATACAGGGCATGGTTCCTGGTCAATGAGATGTTCAGTACGTTCCAGACTGTAAGAGGGGGTGAAAGAGAGGGGTCTTAGTTTTTAACAATCTACGTCACAATTCATTTTGCAATGATTACATGGGTATCAGTGACTGCTATTTTGAGACCATCCCTGACTAGCACCTTCTACAAAGCTCTATTTTCTCACTTTTCATCTGTAGAATCAGGTAATGGAAGGTCAAAGCCCTGATTCAGCTCTATCTTTGAACAGGTGAAACATCAGGGCATCATCACTGCCTGTGATGAACACGTTAGGAGTGAAACATGCCATCCTCTCCTATCCCTGTGTAGCTGCTGGGGCTAACAAATATCAAGTTTACAGCAGAATTAAGAAAATGGCAACAAGATATCAGAGATATCTCAACTCCAGAGGGCTGTGCTCAAATTGCCACTGCAAATAGAGAACCCCAGATTCAGGTTACGTTTCTGCAGTACACAGTGATCTTGCTGTGAAAAATATGGTCTCTACTGTAAATCTGAAGAGTAATACTCCTTACTGCTTTAAGATGCACCATTGCATACCCTTCTTGCAACATAAAAACTCTCTCTTCCTATTGAAGGACTCTCCCGACACCAAGCATCCTCTTTACATAAGAGTTCTGGATTCACTCCGAGGAACTCCAGCTTCAAATATTCCAGTTAAGTTATATAAAGAAGCCGCAGATGGATCTTGGGAACTGTTAAATACAAAGTAAGTCATACTAAAATAATGAGTGAAAGACGGGAAAGGCAATGGGAAGAGGTAAAATAGTTGAAAGACCAGTTCCACATATTCTAACATGAGTTTTTTTTGCTCAGAGGAAAGATAACGTACTATTGAATTAATTTGCTGCAGACCGCCTTTTAAATGTTCTACAACTTCAACTACCAAAACAGTTTTATAATGCTTTATAATTCCTATAAGCACAAGGAAGTGTTTTAAACTATCCTTTGATTCAATTATCGCTTCTTCTTCAATTCCATTACAAAGGTTTATATTACTTATAGTTTGAAGCCAAGACTCTGATTGGGAATCCTGCCTTTACTGGCTATTTTCCTTCTTTCTAAGTGGATTTTCACTTCATACAACACCACAGCTTTAAAAAGAAACTGTTTTGAACATTTCCCACATCATATTTGATAACCTTCTTTACTTCAAGACAAAGGACTTGGCCAAAAGGAGAACATTTGGGGATAAAGCTTTCTCACCTTCTTCCCCACAGAGAAGCAATCACATCTCAAATAACAAAAAGAATCTCCAGATATTTAAACATTGCAATGTCTTCAAAAAAAATTTAATTGTAGAATTTGAAATGTATATATGAACACTTTAAAAACTCAAAACCAATTTTTATTTCAAGTATAATCTGAAATGAAATTGGAAAAATTCTTAGGGGATACACAGAATGAACATTCTTTATTCAACAAGCAATATTCCACTTCCACACCTACCTCCTCGAGACAGTTGCAAAATCTCAACAGAGACCTTTCCAGGTATGTTAACAGCCTATTTCACAGGGGAAAAAAAGTGAGAAAGGGCTCCTAAGGGCTAAAGCTGGCATAGCACAGGAACTTTGACAGGGGGATCCCAGACTCAGATGCATTTCTAGAAATTTCTCAAGAAACTGTACATAAGTGGTTCTTTGCTGTCATGGAGCAGTGGGCTGGCAGACTGGCAGACACTGCTTCTATATGTGTCCTTGAAAAATACAGCTACAGTGAAGGTCACACATAATTGTACAAGGTGGGGAAAGCAACCTATTTACATTGTCCTACTTAAATTGCCTCACACCTCTCAAGTGAGAAGAAAACTTCACGCATATTCCGTCACTGGAATTGCTTGATATTTTCCAGTAAGAGAATGTTCAGTTTACTTATCTTCAAATATAAGCTTAGAGACTTTATAGGAAGACACTCATCTAAACAGCTGGATGTTGACTGAAGCCTTAAAAACATACTTAATATTTGAAACAAAGAGCAGAGTAACATCAAGATAAACAACAGTTATGCTAATACTAAATCAACCCCTCCAGCCTTAATAATTGGTAAATAATGGGATGCTAGCAAGAGATTCTGAAATAAATGCTCTCAATTAAAGATATATTTGGTATTATCTGAGAAAGCTTATTAGAGAAGTGACCAGTTATCTAGCAATGATCCATCTATGACAAAGAAAAATAATGACAACTGAATGGATTAAAAAGTTCTGATAACTGACTACAGAGCATCTTGTAAAATACAAATGGTGTTCTATCACTTCATAACTATAAGCTATATTAAAGGAAAAATCATAAGTAATGCTCTGGACAATGACTTCCCCTCCCCCCCCATCCAATGCAATTTGAATCAAATATGTTCAGAAAAAGATCTGGCAGCTTTAACACAAAACAGTGGTAGTAGCTACTAAAATCAGATGCTGGTAGCTCTGATATTTGCAGATAACCTACCTAATAAAAAACTAGTATTATAAAATTTATTTCACAGAAATAGGTTTCAAACAAAGAGTCATGACTGACAGACAGCATTCAACATTGCTTCTGGAACCCTAAATGGGTTGGTGTTCAAAAATGTAGAGCTTCAAGCCAGTACTAGGGCTTTGGATAGCACTGATAGCACCTGCAAACCAAACAAACCTATGTCTTTGTTGAGGATGGAAAACTAACCAGCCAATACAAACTGTAGGGAATTCCATAAGGCTAGACTGTTAGCTGACCTAAGGTCATTCCTTTCAAATAGTAGGTCTCCAATTTCTAAATAGCCAACTGTAAAAAATATTTACACTAATAAAACAACTCAATACATTTAAATAAGAAAGAAAACGATGCAAAAATCATGAGAGTTGACCCTACTTGGTTGCACAGTATGTGCATCATAGAGCTTCCACATTGCTTACAGCAGTGGTGAAGTTTTCCCTCTGAGCAGGTTCATTTAATTAACCCCAAGACTCTGCCAAGGGTCTGTGAAAAATAATGCCAGTTTTTGGCTCACTCCCAAATCATGCAGAGAAGCGACATGGCAGGCAGCCATCTGCTGTGGTCATTGTGGAAGTAGCAAATGCCAAGATAAGCTCTGAAGCGTCCATAATACAGATGGACATAAGCCATTCCAGATCAATAGAAGCATTCATCATATTACTTAAGCTACACATTGCTCAAGTTCAATTGCTAAAAATGGCATCTTTCTCGGGTTTTGACCAAAATATAAAAGTGTGTTCTTCTACCACCACACAGACAAACCAATGAAAAAGGAGGTCTCCCCGAGCTTACAACCAAAGAACAATTTGGAGCAGGGATATACAAGGTTGAGTTAGACACGACCTCTTACTGGAAGAATATGGGTTTGAATGCCTTCCAACACCATGTTGATGTGAGTATTCATTTTCTCCTGTACTTTGGTTGCAAAGAATAAAGCTATTTAATACATCTATGCTTCAGTTACTAAGTGCACACATTGATTTTAAAGTATTTTCATGCTGACCCTCTAAATCCCCAGTCTCAAAGCTTTGTAACAACATACTCATGACAGAGCCTAGTTACTCTCAATAAGCTCTGAAATGTGTTACTTACGAAGAGGGTTTCCATCATTCTACCTCTGCTTAAGCCTGTGATTCTTTCTGTGACTATTCTAAACACCTGAGAGAGAACAACAGGTAGAGTACTCTGTTAAGGCTCCTGGGAAAAGAATTTGTCTGCCTTTTGGACCCAGTATTTATATGGCTACAGAAAAGGTTTATAATTTAGATTTTTAAAGGCAATGGAAGTATGTACTGTGTTCTGGATGCTTGGATCCTCAGTTTACAACAGAAAAAAAAATTATAACATGCCTTTTTAATTTGCATGGGACAAATAAACTGGTTAGAGGAAGGTGGTTCAAACTAGGGACCAAGGGAGGCCTGCTGCAGGAAGTGAAACTCCTTGGAGACTGTCCCCTTCCCCTCCACAGCACCAGGGCTTTCCTATGACCTTTTAGGAGTAGCAGTAGCAGTTCTAAATTAGTTGTTTGATGGACTGTGACAGATCTGCTCAGCCATTCCTTATCTCCTTGGAGAAAAGCTGAAAAACATCTGGGATAAGTTTTGTTTCTGCCTTCCTGAAACAGATGAAAGATGACATTCTTATACGTGACAATAAAGAAGGTTAATGCTGGATAGCCTCACCTACGGTGATAACTGAACTAAAAGAGGGAAGATAAAAGATTTACAGCACGCAAATAAATTGATTATATATCAAAATTATGAAGTCTATATTTGAGACTAGAAATTACTTTAATCTAGATTACAAGAGCCTTCTTTCTTAAAAATGAGCCTCAGTAGGGATCACATTTTGCTCAGTTCACTGTTTTTTTCGTATGCATCTTCTCTATTAATATTGAAGGGAGCACAAGCTGTGCATCACAGACTGTATCCACCACTCTATTTTAAAAGCTGACACCTCTCATCTCACAACACAAAATAATGTACTATGTAGAGTGAGAAATCAAAGAACAGGACATGTGCTGATCAGGGAGATAGTAACAGGGCTGTGGTAAATCATTCATATGTAAGGTTATTCTCATACTGTGGCCAAAGAACTAATGCAGTCCTTCTCTAACTAATACTTTGGAAGTAGAACTGAAAAAACTCAATGTTTCATACTTTGGCCTAATGATAATTACTGTTGCACTGTTTATTTCTGTTCCTCAAAGTTCAGACTTCATAAGAGCAATACAAATATTCAAACACTTGAAATAATAGGCGTTCCATTTTGTTTGGTTTTTTTAATAAAGACAACTTGGATAATAAATACATTTTAAAATATGTAAATATATTTTAAATAATGTGATATTTACACTCTTAATGAAAAAATATTTAACTAGTGGAAAAACTGTGTGGTACAAGAGTCACAGCTCAGAGTGAGAATATTTCTGAAGTTTTGTGTGAAGTTACATAAAATGAGCACAATGGTTCCATTAAGGCTTGTATCTAGAAATCAATTCTCACTTGTCTTGTTTTGGTTTTTCTTTTTTCCAGGTGGTGTTCCCAGCTAATGATGCTGGTTATCGACATTACTCCGTTGTTTTTATCCTTAGTCCCTTTTCTTCCTCAACTACAGCAGTTGTTAGTGAGCCAGTGGAATAGAAGCTGACATTAATCATGAAAATTCAGATGTGTGAATTAAAACTTCCATAAATGATAAGAACTTAGTATCTGATTGTATCAACAGCTTTAGATTTCATAGTAAATCACTAACAGTAAGAGTCAAGTTGTTTATTCTCTCAGCTTTAGGAAGAATGTATACTGACTTTGTTTTCAAATACTCTTCTGAATGAAAATGTTCTGTATTTCTGTATTCTGTCAGTACTGCCCTTCTGAATAAAAGTTTGGGGTTTGAAAAAAGAACACAAAATAAGCTCAGGAAAAAACGTATTGAAATTCCATTACTGAAACTCTGAGAATAAACCAAAGTCTTGCGTGAAGTTAATAAACTACATTTCTTTTTGCAAAGGAAGTGAACAAAACACATCTGAAAGGTGTCTCATGAAAAGCAAGCAAATACAATCCACAACTACCATCTCCTATACTTTGTCACTGAACCCCACAACAGATGAAGTCACGTGGGATTACTTACTCAGAGCCCCACATAATTAGCAGATAAACTCACCTCACAATTCTGATTTTTGAGATATAGATGTAAAAGCAGCTTAAAAGTAACAGCAAAGGTAGAAGAGCGTTTAAGGATTCTAACTGTGCTATACACACTTAAAATGCCTTCTTTCCTGTTTTTGAATATATCATAGCTGGTGACACTTTCAGTGAGAGTCCATAGCCAGTGTTTCAGAAAAGTGTATTGATCAAACATACCTGAAGAAGTTTATTAATGTAATTTCAGAAAATCCTGAAAAATAATTTGTCTCCAGTTGAAGTACTTCCCAAAATTACTTGAATACCTCTAACCATCTGACACTTTAATAGCTGTAAGATACAAATAAAAATAAGGATAACTGATGATTCCTGAGAAAACCAGCTTCCTATTCAATGTCATGAGAAATATGGATGAATCCTTCTATTCCCATTCTAGTAATTCATATACAAAGAAGAAACGTTAGGAGATTCAACAGAATAGCAATCCTGTCTTGGAAAAGTATGAAAAAACATTGAGTCATTTAGCCTAATAAAATCAAAAGCTGAAAGCTTATAAATACCAAAAAAGGGGAAAACTCTTTGCTAGCCTAACGCTTGATCCTGTCACAGCCCAATCTGATATATTTGGACAGGTGTATCCCTTCCTTTTGCTGTTACTTTGGGGTTCTGAGCACTAAAAAATGAGAGCTTTGTCTAGAAAAAAACCACAAAGATGATATGTTTTCCACAGAACCTCAGAATAAACAAACCAACACAATCTTTAGAACATTATATTTCATAAAAGACAATGATAAAAAAAGTACAAACATTTTCATGAAAAACAAACAAACAAACAAACAAACCACAAAAAAAAAACCAACACCAAAGCTATGATAGTACACAGGAAATTCCCAGCATTTGTTTCAGTGCATTTTTCATTAAGCCTATCTCATATACCTCTACAAACAAAATAATCTTAGGTACACTTCCTCTTGCTGATATGAAATGGATCCTTTTAGCTTTTTTAAATAACTGGCTCATTAGTAACCCACTACAACATAGCCATTAGTAAACATAAGAATAGAAAAATAGACTGTGAAGATCCAAAAAAAGGGCATTTTGCACTTGCTTTTCAATATACTGTCTATGCAAAGTGGACTTTTGTTTTATATTCTCCGACTTATATTTGAAATATAGAAAATGGGCATAAGAGTATTATAGCATAACAACCAGATTCCACTGTTAATAATTCTGTAATGTTTTTACTTGCTAATTTGCAAGACCTTCAGAATCTTGTAAAAGACACCCTTTTTCTTCTCCCTCCATGTTCCTTCCTTGAAGAGGTGTCCTTAATTTGCACTGTCAGCAATGCAAAAGCCAATGTGATTGGCTTCTTTCTACAATTTACAAGAATCATGAAAATATCCAAAGGAATATGCACAACTCTTAGTTCTGCATCATATTTATTTTGTTTGAAGGCACTGTCTATGTTAAAATTCACTACAGAAGAGTACTGAGTTCAAGCAGGTAGTATACAAACACTATTGTGATGTAATTTAAGATGGCAACTTTCAAAACTTCCCAACGAAATGGTAAAAGGTACTTAGAGAATAGTGTTGGTCAGCAATTCATAATTTAACATCCATCACTTTGGGGCACCAAAATGTAAATGTTTTAAGAACTCAGCTATATGTCACAATTCATTCACATACTGGTTTAAATCACATTTTTCTAGGACCATACATGATCAATCACTTAAAGCTGTAAAGTTATATTAGTTCAGCCACAGCAAATGTGTAATATAGTATGTATATATGTAAGTATATATACATATATATATGCATTAGATTTTCTTTTAATTGCACATAAATTTCACAGAATGCCTAACAAATGGGTACAAAAGCATGCTTGAGAAAACAGTACAGACCTGTGGTACCAAAGGATGTTTCATAATCATAGGTGTGAAACTGAAGGAGAAATTGTACTGAAAACCAGAAATCACATCAAAATTACATCAAGGATTTAAAAAATTATTCAACTGTTCTTAAAGAATAGTATTGTTCTGCTATGAAATAGCACTAATTTTATTTTGAAGATATAATTGTTCATACATTGTATTATCTCCCCTTTCTCCATATGCTTCAGAATGTTCCATATAATCAGTTACAGAAAAATCTATTAGGAGGTGATTGAACCACTTCAGCATGCTTTTGAAGGATGTTTTCTTCACTTTATGCTTTTAGATATTTTCACTGTATTACCTCATTCCTAAAGCATACTAGATTAACTGGTAGATTTTAAGGTCATTCCAATATGGTATAAAATATCCCTTACAATTGTTCTCAACTACTTAAATTAAATAATTGTATTTCTACTAAATATTTGGGATGCCTACAACTAAGCCCATAACCTTACTGAAGAATGGCTAAGGGCAGAATTTGCTGCTGTGATGTCAAAGAAATAAAAGATGTTTAAGGCAAACTTAAAATATACAAAGCACCACACCATCTGTGGCAGCAATTCAGGAAACCAACACATAGTAATGACTTAAAGTCAGTATTCTTTGCCAACACTCTTGAAGAACACTCTATGGATAAACAATCCTTATTATATATACTGCTTCCCATTCTTCATGGGAGCAGAAGTCCGTCTTTGGTTCCTAAGGAGTTGAGTAACTGTGACAAACTAAACAGTTTAATAGATCTTGGTCAGTGTCTTTGCATTAACATAGAAAATAGATGACCTGGCCCTTTCCCTTAGTATAATAAGGGATGTAAAAAAATATTAGGAAAAGATAATAATGCTTAGCAGTGGGACACTTTCAAGTAGCATAACATTACAATCAAAGAGAAAATAAGAAGATACGCTTTTCATTATAAGTTGAGGAAAGAGGCTCATAGTTACTCATACATATAACACCACAAAAATAGAGAAACAGACAGGACCCATCCTTAGCAGGACTGCACAACCTCAATCTCATTGACAGTCATCGACTCGAGGATACTTAGTTCATCACAGAAGCACGAAGCACCCTGCCAGAATAGGCCCTCAAATAGCTATATTGAATAATGTATTGTGAGTGGAATTTTAAAAAGCACTTGGGATTGGCCTGCTTTCAGTTCCGCTTTTGGCATCATCATCCTCCATCAGCAGAACAGTGTGACCAACACCACGGTTCTGAAAATCCCACACTGCAAGCATTAGAACTATTAGAACTATGTTTTTTTATTGTCTTAAAAATCTAACTTTGATATTCTTCCAATGAAGACACATTTTTGGCTCTTCTGATTTTGGAGGAATAAAAGTGCTGTTTACTAGGATTCTTTGTTTTCTGTTTGTTTTTTTTTAAAAAAAGAACAATACCAAAATACTGTACGCACTCAGACACATTGTTTTAGGCATTAAAATCCCTGACATTGACACAAGTGGCACACTTGGAAACAGTTAGAGTTCCTGTAGATCATAATATGCAACAAGCGCAAGATCTTCTGTAATACACGTGCAATATGCATATAAATAGGATTTAGATGGCAGGCAGGGTATCATACAATTTTGCTGGCAATAAATAAAATTAAAAGCTTTTTTTCTAGCAAGTTTATACACGAAATTGATTTTTCTATATAGATATGCAGGAGGCCTAGAGCTCAAAACTAGTATAACAGTTTACAGTCATAGCTGGCCAACAATTAATATTTCCTTCATTTTACATAAGGTATAACCTTTTTTACAAGCATACTTACATTTTACACTTGTTCTTTCATGCTAATAAAAACATTCCTATAGAATTCAAACAAGAACACACTCAAATACATAATATTGAACAACTGAAAAGCAATGTACATACATTCATTTTACATCACATATTTACAAAACACATTTTAAAAAGAAACAAAAGCATTCATTTAAATACGAGGGGGACGGCAGTTTAGTATAAAAAAATTCCTGGAAGAGGCTTCTGTCTTTACTTCCAGAGAAGCTACGAGTCTGTTCCCTACAGTCTATTTAGTTGAATGGTTAAGATAGAGAATATGAAGAGTGAAGGCTTGAACAGTAGTCTCATGCTGTAAACATCTGAGTGGTAGCTGCTGGCTTTTCTTTCAGAACAAAATGCATGGTAAATACAATAATTTCTCATCCCAAATATGCATCATCAAATGATCAGAAAACTCTAATTCTAAGCTGCTGTTTGTTGGGTTTGTTTTGGTTTGGTTTACAGTGTCTATTAGTAGCTTCCAGTGTTAAAAGTTTATTCTGGTAAGGTAGCTTGTCATTCCACTTCCATCAATAGTCTCTAACAGGAGCAAGTTCTGGTATGAGATTAACAGTTATATTTTTATACAATCTACTGACAAGTATTTTAGGAGTATATACTAAATTGTTCAATCCATCAATATACTGCCGTTCTCTGGAATACCTCAGAAGCTTGTATCTGTAGAGGGAGTTGGAAGAAGAAAACATGAGAAAGATTTGCAAGAAACAATTCAGTTGATGTTAGACATGAATACCGTGACAGTTGTTTCATTTTGAAATACATCTTAAATTCTGAAACTACCTTTCTGCCTTTTGAAATGACCAAATTACCTACTTAAGCTTTGAAAGAAAGATTTTAAAGACTTTTAATAAAGTTAGATTTTATGGTCACATATACAAGTTAATATTAAGACTAAATAACAAAGGAAGCATTTAATATGTGTACTTTTTATAGTCCCAAACTAAGCAGATTTTTAAAGATTATTCAATTTCTTCACGTTGTTTTGTAATAGAACTCAGCTGAGGAGCTAGGGAAATATACAGAAACCTTCACTGGTAATAATTACAGATTTAAATGTCTGAATAGTTTTTTATTTCATTCTTGAGACTCCTG